ATTATTATTATTATTATTATTGAGAAATTCTGATTTCTTGTATGTAATGGGGAGTATAATGCAAATATATCAGGCAGCTTTAGTCTTTATCATTTGCAATTTTAACCAGAGTCTACCCAGTGTGCTCATTTCTGCTGAAGAGAGTTATTTTAAGAATATAATGAGAGCATGACAATTTTTACTAATTATAGTGAGAGGCTGGAATATATTTAACTTCTGCCTTGGAAGATGATTTTTAATAGATATTTGTCAATCATTTTTAATTCTTGACCTTGCAGTGTTCAATATGCTTTGGAAACAATGTTAAAATGTAAGGAAATGATAAATTTCTAAACATAGCTGAGCTTAAAAATATGAAATATGGACATGTTGTCTTCGAGGTACAGGATTATTTGTAAGATGCCCTTGAGCATGATTAACAGTGTATAGCAAGCAGCTCTTGAGCAGCAAACCAGGATGTGAACAACAACAACAAAACATTCTAGTCTATCAAAAGGAAGAACAATACTGCTGGCCTCTGCTAGACAAAAATAAAAAAAAACTGGCTTTCAGCAGGAGCTGGCATGATCCAAAATGAATGAAGCACAATCGTTTAGGGTAGATCCACCCACCAGTCCTGCATATGTACATGCATATACATCCCCACAGTTGGTATGGAAAGGGAGTAAAATGCAGGTATATAAAGAGCCAACAGATTAAATGTTCACAGTAGAGTTAAATATCACTCAAAGATCACATCACAAACCACACACAAAGCGATATAAATGAAAGCTATATTTCGACACATAGGCAAAAACAGAGTTGACAATCTCAGACAGGCATCTGTGCAATGCCACACAGTGCCGGAATCAACAGTTGAACGCAATTAGAAAAAAATGCAGTATGAAGGAGAACTTGTCATTGTGACCGTTCCATCCTGTGTGACCATCCAAGCCAAAGGCAATGCTGCCTTGGAGTTAGCAGCCAAACATTATTGCCATTTTCTTCTCTTTCTAAAATAACAGTTATCCATAACGTGATCATCCTTTTGCCAGTCATAATATGTAAAACAGAAACCTTTGTGGTATTTTCATCCTTAAATAGACTTTCTCTAACCAGCTTATCAGTTACTTTTGTTAGATTTTCTGATCCATTATCATTGCATTTATTTCATTTTGAAGCTCCTTTCCTCTTTCGTTCCAGCTTTTGACCTTTACAAGAATCCTGAGAAATGTTAGGTTGAGAAACCTTAAGAACTTGTATGATTGATACACTTTGTCAACCAAAGCAATACAGGTTGTCCTCAGAACAATTGAGCCCAAAATTTCTGTTGCTAAGTGAGACATTTGTTAAGGGAATTTTTCCCATTTTATGACTTTTCTTGCAACAGTTGTTAAGTGAGTCACTGCAGTTGTTAAGTTAGTGACGTGGTTGTTAGTGGATCTGGCTTCCCCATTGACTTTGCTTGTCAGAAGTTCACAAAAGATGATCACATGATGCCAGGACATTTCAATTGTCACGAATATGAGTTAGTTTGCCAAGCATCTTAATTTAGATCACAGGACCATGGAGATGCTGCAACAGTCGTACGTTTGATTAACAGGCACAAGTCATTTTTTTCAGTGCCATTGTAATTTTGAACAGTCACTAAATGAACTGTTGCAAGTCGAGGACTATCTGTATTGAAGGCTCTTTTCCCCATATTTATTTTTGGAATTCACAGGTGAAGGAGAGATGCCACTAAGGCTAAGTTCCAAAGGATGCCCTCTCTACTGATGCTTACTGATTATGCAATTTTGGTACCTGGAAAAGTTCTTTATTAAGAACCTTTATTAAGAACTGACTGCATCTTAGATATAGGGTGTTTATCCGTAATTTAATTTTGCTGTAAGTTTCTTCTCTCTCTGCTTGTCTTCTGAATGTATACTTTTATTGGCCATTATTGGGAGAACATTGAATTGGAAAAGGCAAATATTTTTTAAAGGGGAAATGGAAATATTACCCAGGAAGTTTTAAATACTGAGCTGAACCTAGGGCAGCACGGTCTAAGTCCAAGAGGCTAACTTTGACAGTTGTGGCAATAATCCTGACTTAAAATTTATTTATGGTTAACAGATTGCTGTTAATGTTAGTTGTATGATTGCAAGATTGCTTCCAGAGGAAGGTTTCTAATGCTAACTGTTCTGTCTTTCCACTGGGTTGTATAGAAAAAAAGGGAAGGGCTATGAAAGAACAATATTATCAGTAATTCCACTTACAAAATTCTAGAAATAAGCAGAACAGTTATGTTATAAAAGTTCAGTCTGGAAAAACATAATCTTTAGCTAGCTAGCTTAGCCCACAAACTTTTAAACACATTTCACAACGGGCAATGATTTACTTTGAGATTGCTACACTGGCATATTACAGTATGAATGTACTATAATATAGGTAGGCTGGGTAGGGTGTAACAGGGTAGATAATGTATTCACAATATTTTCTCTTAATAAAGTTTTATTTATATACATAAAACTTTCCTGAACTTCCAGACATTGCTCTTGCACTAAATTGTACAGTGAAAAATTCAAAGTATATTATAGTACACAAAGTGTACTACTGTGTTAAAGCTGTGCAGAATTGATGTGTATGTAATAAAACATAATGCACTGAGAGATAGGTTAAAGTAAGAATCTTTTCATTGACACTTGTCAAATGGCATTGCCTTGTGCTTCTGCATTCCTTTCTAGTGGTCCTCTTTATTCTAGTAAGGTTCATATTGTAGATGAAGCATTTTCCAATTTCTGTGGGAATATTGCAGTCAGAGCAGATGTTTTTAAAGTTCTTTTTCTGTTTCATAGTAGGCTTTATTAATGTATACTTCATCAACATCCTTTGTTGTTTAGTAGAAGCATTATATTATATGTCATTAAGTTTGCTTAGTTGCTTTCTTGAATAATTTTGAAGATCTTCAACAGATAGACATTTGAGTTGTCCTTTTCAATATGGTACCTAGAATAGAAAATACAGGCTGAAACTCTAAATTTATTGTAGACCTATGCTTATTTGGAACTTAAGGTTTCATAGAGACCAAGAATATTATATGTTCAAGTTGAAAAAATGCCATTCTCTTTACTTACTCTTCTAGTATTTTATTGATCTCTTCCACTAAGCTCCATAAAAATAATATAAATAATAACAGGAGCTAAACTGCCTGAAACTGAGAGTGATTAAATTAGTAAGAATCTATGTAAATGTTAGGATTAACATCTCTGATTTTGGATTGCCATTTAGATAGGTTCAATTGACTTTTATCCAGAGCTTTATCAAAGCTTAGTCTGTAGATATTAATGCGTAGTTTTTATTTCCATATTAAAATGTATCAACTGCCCATTTCTACAGACTTTTTTTGTTAAATATGTAAGAGCAGGCTCAATTGTTTATCAACTCTACCATGCACCTTTACTCAGTTTTTCTAGTCACTCTTTTAGGATTTCATTTTTTTCTTTTTTTAATAATGTTTTTTAAAGTTTACAAATACAAAAATAAAAAACCTAATAATAATAAAAATATTTTTAAAAGTGCAGAGGTAAAGAATTATAAAGAAGAAAAAGAAAAAGAATAATGAAAAGAAAAAAAGATGCATAAGAAAATTTTTTCCCCTTCATCACAAGCACAGACTATTTCACTAATTTACCATCTTCTCTGATACAACAGTAAAGGATATTCAGTCCTAATCAGCAAAGGTTTATTAGGATTTACCAAAAATAACCACATACATACATACATACAAAATCTTAATCAAATAAATCAGTTTTATATTCCTTTCCTTTGAATATACTATAACACAGTAACATTACTTTCTCTGAAAACACAATAAAACTATTTTCTTCCCCTATACACTTACCTGTAAACAAAACTTTAAAGCCTCATCATTTTGCCTATCAAGAAAAATACATTTAATAATGTATAATAATAATAATAATATGAATTATTCTTAGTAAGAAGTAGAATATGAAGGAAGAAAAATGTAAATAAGAAACAACGGGGCAATAAGGACAAATATTCTAAAGAAAAATAAGAGGGGGAATGTAAATAATAGAAGATTACCGTTACGTAATCGCTGTTAAAAAAAAAGGGAGAGGAGTATGTGTGTGTGTGTGTGTGTTTGTGTGTGTGTGTGTTTTGTTGGTTAAAAATAAAATAAATAAATAAAAATTTTAAAGAAGAAAAAAACATTAAGAGCAACCAGAAACAACATATACATTTTAACCTTTTTCATATAAGCCAACTTTATATTCTTGATTTCATTTGGGGGGGGCTAACCTAAAGAGCGTGCTAAAGGGTTAGTAGAAGTGGTCTACATTATTTTCCCTTTCTTCTTTGTCACTCAATGAAATACTGTTTATGGGTAGAGAAGCTATCTTTTTCTTTCAACTGTAAGATTGGGACTTCAGTATCTATGTTGACTATACTGTTGAGTACCACCTCCTATCTGCCATCACCAACAGCCACTGACTTTGTTTTGCCCTTTGGGGTCCAGAGTTGCGTACTTGTGGGGGTGCAGGGCAGGCAAATAGATGCTGCTGTTTCTTCCCTTCGTCCTGATTGTATCAGGAAGGAAGAACAGTAGCAAGAACAGAGGGAAGTAACTCACAAGGGTTTGGCAATGCAGCAATCCTTCTCAGATAAGGGCTTTAGTAGTTGTTCAGCAATGCCAACATGCTGATCTTAGACTGGAGGACTTTTAGTAGAACATCAATTCTCTTGACATGTGGTAGAACTGGTGTACCAGCATTTTGTCAAGCCAGGACAATGAAAGAAGCAATTTTCTCCCAACTCCTGTGGAATCAGACTGCACACTGCACATTTTATTTAAAAAGTGTCCATGATCAGGCGTTCCATTGTGCATATTTATTGTCTGCTGATAATTCTTGATTGTTTATGGAAATTCCTGAATATTACATCTCATGCGTCTGCTTATAGGATGTTGTTTAGCATCTAGGAATAATTCAACTGAATGTTGCCTTTCTTTTGTGTTTCAGCTTGCAAAACAGTGATGCCGCAGAACTGACCACATTGATTGCAGTAAGTTAGTTCCTTTATGTCTGATATTAAGATAACTTTTTTCGAAGTATGACTCGTATTGAGCACTTAAGAATATTGGGCATGACTCCGAGAAAGTTAAATGTGTGAAAAATTGTATAGCTTTATTTTTTCTTCTTCTGTTCAATCATATCCAATTCTCAAAGAATGCCTGGACAAATCCCTGCAGTTTTGTTGACAAGGTTTTCAGAAATGGTTGCCATTGCCTTCTTCAAAGGGCTGAGAGAGAGTGACTGGCCAAGGACATCCAGATGACTTTGTACCTAACATGGGACTAGAACTCACTGTCTTCTCATTTCTAACCTGATGTCTTAATCACTACACCAAAGTAACTTTTGTGTAGCTTTATATGATTGGCTAATTAGTTATAATTGGATTGAAGCATGTCTTCTTTCTTTCTCCATCTCCATACTGAGAAAAGGCGTTCAGGTAAGACAACGCCCCTTCTCTCCTGTATATAGCATTTCTCACTATGTATATACCTACCTTCTTACTTACCTACCTATTTCATATCTGGAGAGCAGTATATTGGACAGAGTTAGCCTACTATATACCATTGGGTAGTTCCAGTGCAGTGATGCTGTTACTCAGGGGACTTTCTGTACCTAAGTATACTCAGTGTATATAGTGTGTGGATATGACCTTGGGAGATAGGAGGGAGAGCCACAGACTAGACCAGATATGTCAAACACAAGGCCCGGGGGTTGGATGCAGCCTGGGAAGTGGTTTCATGTGGCCTGTGAAGCCATCCTGGGAACAGTGAGGGAATGGCTCCCACTGCCTTGGCCCTGGCCCAGGCCGGCTGGCTGGGAACCAATGTACAATTTGTGGTGGCCATCTATGCTGAAACACATTCAGTCTCCCTCTGACTTTGCTCTGGTACCCATCATGAACAACCTGGCTAAGGAGAGCAAGCACAGCAGCAGCAACCTTGAGGAGCAGGTAAGTGCAACTGGGCCAGGCTGGGCATTTGACCTCTGCTGCCCAGGGCTCCGGGCAGCCTGCACCACCATCCAGCTCCCCCCACATGGCCTGAGAGGAACAGTGAGGCTCCTCCAGTGGACCATGCCTTGGCATTTGCCCTGGTCCCACCCCCTTCTGCCAGAGACTCTCAGATCTGTCCCACTCCTGTCCAGGCCCACACGAACAATGTAAAGCTGGCCATGCCCACCCAGTAGGCCACACCCACTCCCTCCATACCCACCCAGTAGGCCACACCCACCTTGGCCACACCCACCCAGCCCCCCAAGGGCAACTACAATGTTGATGCGGCCCTCAATGAAATTGAGTTTGACACCCCTGGACTAGACAATGGTCAGATAAAAGACAGCTAAACACTCAGAAGGAATGAGGGTGTGGCATAAGGGACTCTCCCGAGTTTCTTGCACTGTAAAGGTGAGGGAGGGGAGAGATTGCTTTCAGATTTGCAAAATTCTGTGAATATAATCATACAGTAAAGTTAGAGCTAATACTTCTGGGTGTCCCTCTTGGCTGGACTATCTTGCAAGGCTGATCCAATAACAATGAGAAGTAAATGCCATTTTAAGGTTCCATTGCAAATTGTACCAATTGTCGATACTGGCAGGGTAAAATGAGGACAGTGAATGCACAGAACTTGCTCTGCACTTCATAAGCTACCCTGCTTCCTTTAGATATAGAGGAGGATCTTGTTCTGTTTCTATGGCTGAAGTAAGATTCATCTACTGCAGGGGTCTTCAGATTTGGCTTTTTTATGATTTGTGGACTTCAACTTCCAGAATTCCTCAGCCAGCATGCACTTAAAGCAGTATATAAGTCTCATAAATAAATAAATAAATAAATAAATAAATAAATTTCTTTATATGGAATCATTTTGCCATTGACTGCAGGTAGCAAAATGTCATAGGCTGCCCACTGCAGCAGCCACAGTTTTCAAATAGCAGTCCTTATTTTCTGTTTACTATTAAACAGGATGCTGTTTGATATTATCATTATTATGGTTCATTTGCTGCACAGAGCACACCATTTCCAGCAAATTGGTACAAATTAGCAAAGCACTTTTTTTTATTATCATTCGGAAGTCGTCCTGAAGCGAATGGAAAGAATAAGAAATGTAGAGGTGGCCTGATTCTGACATTTTAAAAAACAAAATCAGATTGGATTTTATAATTGTAATTGCACTGTGTGGAAGGTAAATGAGTGAGATGTATTTCCTGATAAATCAAAATATCAGTGAGTTGAGGTTTCCATATAAAACTATTCTAAGTTTGCACTCTGGGAAGCCTTTTGCTGAACCATAAATGATGTATTCAAGCATAATAATGGTTGGTTGGTTCCCTCTAGTGCCCATGGTTAGATCCCATTGAACTGCTGTGTTTGCTTCAGTATGTTATAAACCTAAGTGCAGAAATAATTAGAAAAACAATAGTCTACTCTCAGCTTTGGTAATGCCTAGTCCTTGATAGCATGTATTTATTGATTTCATTCAGGTGTTTTTACATCATATATCATAAAAGTTCCTAGGCAATAAACCGAGTGCCCCAAAGATCAGCTTGATAAACATACACAAATGACATATTCTTATATTTAAAATAGATATAAATAGTATTAAAATAGCCAGCAGTGTGCTGCAGCTGCCAAAAAGGCCAACACAGTGCTAGGCTGCATTAACAGAGGGATAGAATTAAGATCACGTGAAGTATTAATACCACTCTTCAATGCCTTGGTAAGGCCACACTTGGAATACTGCATCCAGTTTTGGTCACCACGATGTAAAAAAGATGTTGAGACTCTAGAAAGAGTACAGAGAAGAGCAACAAAGATGATTAGGGGACTGGAGGCTAAAACATATAAGGAACGGTTGCGAGAATTGGGTATGTCTAGTTTTACGAAGAGAAGGACAAGGGGGGACATGATAGCAGTATTCCAATATCTCAGGGGCTGCCATAAAGAAGAGGGAATTAAGCTATTTTCCAAAGCACCTGAAGGCAGGACAAGAAGCAACGGGTGGAAACTAATCAAGGAGAGAAGCAACCTAGAACTAAGGAGAAACTTCTGACAGTGAGAACAATTAATCAGTGGAACAACCTGCCTCCAGAAGCAGTAAATGCTCCAACACTGGAAGTTTTTAAGAAGAGACTGGACAGCCATTTGTCCGAAATGGTGTAGGGTTTCCTGCCCAAGCAGGGGATTGGACTAGATGACCTCCAAGGTCCCTTCCAACTTTATTATTATTATTGTTGTTGCTGTTGTTGTTGTATCATTTTGGCAAGTTTCAAAAAATCATAAACTAAGCAATTAAAGATGGTGGCCAATTGACACAGATGTTATTAAAGATTTCTCAATGGCTAACACATGAGGAAGTCTAGTTACAATACTGGGAAGTGAATTTCAACCAGTTGGCTCTCCCGGGTAAACTGGACAGGAGACACAATTAGATGGACTAATTCTACTGTATTGTAAGGCTGCATTAGTAGAATTTTGCAAGTTTGACAGTACAATTTCCCACTGCCACTTTTAACTTCTTGATCCACCAGTGCAGGTTCTTCCTAAGTTTCTTTGTCTGACCTTTAAGCACCTGGTACTCCTGCCTTCTTGTTTGATAATTTCCTAGGCAGCATCTCTTCCCCTCATTCTCCAAGGCCATCCACACATTCTGTTTACATCAACTCCATTGATCCAGTAGGTTGGCTGCTGCTTGACAGTAAGATTCTCCAATAATCTTACTGGGCAGAGGAAATCTTGAAGGATTCCTCAGGTGTCCTGGACCCAAGCTGTTTAGGACTTTGAAGTCCTGTTCCCCATGTCCTGGTCCAAAAATCAGCACATGGTGCACCAATATGTTATCCTTCCTTCAATTCAAACTCATATGTTATTTATCTAACATTTACCCAGTTTATTAAGATTTTTAGGGACTCTTGGCAGCCTTTGCCTATAGCTTTGGATATTTAACTGTTCTTCCAATCTCCAGGATATTTATAAATATTAAATAGCATCGATTCCAGCACAGAATCTTGAGGGATGTGCCCAGTTCAGTTTCCTTTATTGTGAGAAAAGTCTTCATTTGCTTCTCTGGTTGGGCATGTGTATGGGTGTGTGTTTCTTTTTTTTTCTTTTAAGTTAAATAAATAGTAAAGGTCTGTTTTAACTTTTATAACAACATGCTTCTAGAAACATTTTGTTTTATTTCTTTTTTGCTTGTTTTATTGTAACTTTACATTTTCTGTGGCAGGATTTTTGGCCACACTAATGGAAAAAGAAAAAAAAACAACATTCCAGTTTAAGTAAGCTTGTAATCTTTCATCCATTTTTGGGTTGCAGAATTTTTAGGGTGCTGGGAATCCAGAGGTTTTTAGTCCCAAATCATTTGGGATTACCAAGCTCAGGAAAGCTATGTGAGAATCTGTTTGCAGCATTTAAAAGTTACTCATTAAATACTTTTGGACTTTTTATCATCTTTTCTTTCTTCTCAGATCCTTTATCGCAGATTTTACAGAAAGTAAAAATATATTTTATGTTGTATATGTCCTGGATGTAATGTGGTTAATTTTGCTTGTGATTAAAGGAGAGAAGTCCTACAGTGGACAATCACCTAAATATGAGCCAGCAGTGTGCTGCAGCTGCCAAAAAGGCCAACACAGTGTTAGGCTGCATTAACAGAGGGATAGAATCAAGATCACGTGACGTGTTAATACCACTTTACAATGCCTTGGTAAGGCCACACTTGGAATACTGCATCCAGTTTTAGTCACCGCGATGTAAAAAAGATGTTGAGACTCTAGAAAGAGTACAGAGAAGAGCAACAAAGATGATTAGGGGACTGGAGGCTAAAGCATATAAGGAACGGTTGCTGGAATTGGGTATGTCTAGTTTAATGAAGAGAAGGACGAGGGGGGACATGATAGCAGTGTTCCAATATCTCAGGGGCTTCCACAAAGAAGAGGGTGTCAAGCTATTTTCCAAGGCGCCTGAAGGCAGGACAAGAAGCAACGGGTGGAAACTAA